TTCAAAATCAGAGTCCTGGCATTTTGCTGCAGAGCAGTGAAGGTTGGGTGATGATGGGGCTTGTGGGTTCTTCTACAGTGTGAATGTGTCTGTCAGAGGCTACTTAGAAGAGTCACAATCTGCATTCACTTAGTCCTGGCAAGACATGGCAGGAGTTTTTTTCTTTTAAAGCCCCTTGGACCGTGCTGTGGTAGAAAGTTGATCTGTAAATAACAGACACATGTTTGAAACCGAGTCCTGCGTTTCAGCCCACAGCCGCAATGAGAGCGAGAAAACCGCCTCGCTCCGACGTCAAATTATTTCATCCAGTGTTGTATGACAATCATGCAGTAATAGCTCTAAAATGGCTCCTCGGAAGCATGTGTGTGTAGCTATTTAGAAAGGCGGCGGGAGGGTGCGTATAGTGGGGTTCTGCTGACGGGTGTTTCTGATTATTTGGGATGGGGGCTCTGCGTAATGTCACATCAAATTATCTGACAGCTACAGCTTGTTGGAGACACCGGTGCGGATGGCCGCCCTGCTGGCTGACCTGCTGTCTTCTAGAAGTGTGGCCAAAACAATACAAATGGGCCACACGAAGCACTTTGAGTGAGAGAGCCCTTGACCTCTGTTGACTTGTTGCCTAGCAGCGGAGAGATGGTTTCATTTTCTTTCTGGCCCAAATGGAGGATGTGGAGATGACCCATGGGTGACAGACAGACGCTGCTCTGCCTCTTTGGAAGCTTTGTCCCCCTCTGCTCTGCTTACTGCCCTCGAGGGACCACCACCTATAAGAGCAGAAATGGTTTACAGCCTTTACAGATTTAAAAGAAATTGTTTTAACTTATTTTTATGGGCAAAAGTTTAGAAACTATTCTCACTTTTATTTCTGCATTTGCTCTTCCTCTACAAGCCACATTTGTGCCTCACTAGGTCTCCATGGATATACAATTGCAAGCAAATGTATTCATACCTTATGAACTAATCTAACTTTCTAATGCTGCAAGCACAAACTCATAGAAAAGACACATGCAAAGTAGGTAACTGTGCAGTGGAATATACGATATTCATGTCATGCTTTTTATTTTTTTTTCTCTTCTACTCCTTGAGTCAATAATTGTAAGAACTTATATCACTTTTCCACCTGGTCAACTGCTAACCTAGCTCTAGTCTACCTCACCAGTTTTCAAATGTACTATGTACTCACTTTTTTCACGTCCCCCCCTTATCTGTAATAATCCCTATGTATGCGCACGGCCAAAATAAGTCTAATTAACAAATTTGAACTTTTGTTGAGACTCAAAATTTGGACTGTGACCTGGAGAAGCGGTCCATCATTTTCTGGTTGCGAACAAGATTAGAGCTGCGTCCAGATTCAGAGGTTGCAATAGTAGGCTTTTTTTGTCATAATAAAGCACTGAGGGCTTTCCAAATTTAAAGGCAATAAATAATTTTCCCGAAACTTAAATGGGTTTGTGCATTCTTGGTGGCTTATCTTAAGCACATGCATGTGATGACAGTCCAGCTTCTCAAGCCCTTTGAAAATTAAATAAATGGAAAATAAACCAGGGCAAAGGTTTTTACAGCTATCCAGATCTGTTCTATATGGTTACCAGGGAATAGAAGTTACACCGAGGTGAGGACAGGAACCGCTTCTGAAGGTTAGATCGTCCCATTGCACAGCCAAGGCCCGGCCTATGTAGAACAAGTTCTTCCAAGAATACAGCCCCTGATTTTGGACAAAGCTGACCATTTATTCCAGCTGTTTCAGACTGCTCATTTGGAAACGAAAATGCCTAGCCTGAAGACTTCAATAGAACCACTGCTTAAAGCAATGAGGAAACTCTGAGATTCATCTAAACACCCTGTTCTCCATGACTTCACCTTGAGATCCTGTTCATGAACACCACAAACACGACTGAAGAAGAGGAGACTGTGGTAAATGTCCCTACTGCAACAGGAAAAAGCTGACTGCTCCAAGACTGCAGCAACCATATTTACTTTATAAATACTGTTCTTTTGATATATTGTTGGGCTTTTAGTAATACCAGCAAAAGTTCTTACATAGTTTATAAGTTCAGTAAGGATGTCTCAGCGTTGACCCATCTGTCTTAGCTTCCTCCTCGATATCTAATTTGCTGCATATGATGTTTTTAGCTTAAAGTAATCATAATAATAGTAATACAATGTGTGGACCAAATTGATGAGGATATTGGAAATTATGGCATTTTTTGATATGTTTAATTAGGAACTTCTGAACTCTCTTCCCTTGACTTAAAGCTCATGTCCAGCCGTTTAGGAGTGTCTTGAAGCTCTAAAGGATCCATTTTTCTTCTAAAACAGTGTCTAGAACTGAAATAAATCAGTGTTTTGTAATGGGACAATGTGCAGGAGCCCTGAACTGTTAACACTGAAACCTTTTAGCTGTCACTCAGTGTTCCACAGCAGCAGTTTCAGCCTAAGCTCCGTTCCAAAGAGAGGAGACAAGTTTGGACAACACCTGACACGACAGCCTGCTTAACTTTCTCCATTAGAGCCAATGAAAGCTGAGAAAAAGCAGACCGCCTTGCTCTCCAAATTGGTGCCTCTGGGGGTCAAGGTGCAGGAATATGACAATTACTTAAATTGATCAGGAGACGGTTTCCTTGATAACCAATTTGATCAAGCTGCCGATCGTGTTACACACGTAGCGGCACGAGGGAACCAAACAGGCAGTCTCAGAAATTAGTCCGCCACGCTAAAAAGACTAAACCCAATTTCCTTTGTGAAAGTAATTCTGTTTCGTCATGTCAGGTGGCGTATAGGTCCGCAGACCCGGCCCGTAAACAATGGCATTTCAGTTGATTTAATTAGGCACAGAGGAAGCATTTAGGGACTTAATTGAGATTGCAGAGGGAAATTGCTCTGAAATAGGGCCTACCTGAGTTGTTTTTCCCCCTCTCTCGTCACAGCGAGCATGACGAGGGATTTTGCTCTCCTCTTTTGTAGATAATTAGAATTACCGTAATCACTCTCTGGATGACCTGTGATTGGCAAGAGGCACATACCAAAAGCTGAAATATGAAGAGTGTGGACGTCTCTCGATGTCCACGCCCTCTGTCTGGATATCACTGTGGAAGTAAGCCTAAAGGAGGGGATTTCTTTGTGCACACAGTGAACTCCTCTGCTTCTCTGTGCTTAAGATGGCAGCATTGCTCCTTTTCCTTATATGAGTCCAGCTGCATGTGTTTTTTGTCATTACATCTCTAAAGTAATCCTTTAAATTATGTTTATGTCTGCCGCTGGGTTACAGCAGTTGATTGCTCAGCACAGAAATGTGCAGAATTTTGTTTCAGCTGCAGGATTCATGCAGGATTTTTCAACCCTGCTCCTCTGTTTTAGATGTCACGCTTCATCACATGTAATTTCATCTGATGGCTGATCAACAGGCTTTTGCTGAACCTCAATCCTTCTTAATCGGATGTGTCAAAGCAAAGAAACCTCTAAAACATGCATTCGTCTTGTCTCTTCTTTTGTCTGAAATTGCTATTTTGGCGCCCCCCTTAGGTTAAAAATGAGTTACTGTATTTTTCTGGCATAACCAGGGATGTGAGGGATGTTCTTCCCCTCATCAATGGAGAACTAATGTAAGCAGCTCTACCTTAGGCAGCTGCTCCCTGTGGACTTACTCTTCCTACACACGGTGGTTCATTCAGGGATTAATAATCCATTAATTTAGTTTCTTATAATTGAAAATCAAATTAAATCATGATGCTCCTTATTATAGAAATAAGCAAATGCATTAAAATTAGAGTTAGCAGCTTAAACCAGTACGGTTCTATAGAACCTTCCTCTTTCTTCCATCATTTCTTTTGTCTCTAAAGATAGTTTAGAGAAATCAAACTACTCCGTCACAAAATCATCATCATCATAAATATTCTGATTGCATGTTTGTTTTGGTCTTCATCTGGGTTACGCCTTCCCGGCAGAAATTTTCTAATATAATCCTTGGGTGAAACTAAGGCTCTGGATCAACATAAATTGTACCTCAGGAATAGATTTCTCTCCATCAAATGTTCATACTGGCCTGATTTGTGTGGCTCTATAAAGCCTATAGTTATTTTGACGAGATTCTCTAACCTGAGCTTCAGGTGTCTGCTTCTCTTCAAGTGCTTCCCTGGACCGACCTGGTCCTGGTTGCTGGTGTACCTTTTTCTGCCACACTTTTTCCTTCCACTCAACTTTCCATTAATATGCTTGGATCATCACTCTGAACAGCAATCTTATTTAGCAGTAATGTTTTGTTGTTCAGTAACTTCCAATTCAAAAGCTGCATCCATATCTTTGAATGTCATAATATGATCATAACATTTATTCATAAAAAAAAATGTAATGACATTAGATAATATTGTATTTGTCCCAGAGGAAGAATTTTGATTTTTTTTCTTTTTGCTGTAAGCCATAATTCCACATCCTTTATAAAGAATACGAGCTCCTGACTTCTGGCAGAAGGTTCCAAATCCCCAAAAACCAAACTGCTTTAAATACTAATTTATTCCCACCTCCATCAAAATTTAAGATAAAATGGGATCTTAAATGTGAGAAATGGGAGTGTGTAATTACTTGGGGTTCTGCTTGTTGTTTTAGTATTGTACAGTAGTTTCCATTTTTTTTTTTTACTTTTAATTCTTATGAGTCTGTATGTAGCCTATGTGTACGTTTTTAGCTGGTATTTGTTTTTATGTGCATTTATTGTTTCGAATGGCAGCTACTACTATGCACTGTGCAATTGTGTCTGTGACAAATTTCCCCTAGGGGACAACAAAGTCTATTCTATTCTGCTCATTAAAATTAATATGAAGAATCTATATATAACTACGTGATGAAAAACTAAAATTGATGTCCTTTTCATTTTTTGATTAAGAGTTAAATTATAAAACTCTGAAGTACATATTTTTTGTTTTGGATTCGATATAAAAAGAAGGAAAAAAATCTAGAAATCCAGATTTCCTTTTTTAATGAATTCCTTTCTTTCCCTCCAGGCGTTTGGCTTCATGTCCCGAGTGGCCCTGCAGGCAGAGAAGATGAACCATCACCCAGAGTGGTTCAATATTTATAATAAGGTAACCTCTTTCTCTAAGTGCAAAAAAGAAACTATGCAGTTGTAACTAAAATCATCCCTTTCTTTATATAAATTTATTGTCTAATGTTTATAATCCTGCTTTTGGTTCATAATAACTGCTCACGACAGCGCCTCGTGGCAGCGACCAGGAGCAGCTCTCGACAGTTCCACAAAATATGGCGACTAGGTCATAATATATTCCAGATAATTAGCAATGAAACGTCTCTCAGTAAAGTCAGAATTTTTTTTTTTGGTAAAAAATTTTTTCCAGGTCTTGAAATCTCACCACCCGAACCCCTCAAGATACTCTGTAAATCAGTCAGGAGTAATGATGATGGAAAAAGTGTTTTCTGGAGGTAAACCATGAGTCGTTCTCATGAAAACTTCCACAAATGTCTCCACCTCGCCCTCATAACACAAGTGCTCACCCATCCTCTCCTCATTCTCCTTTTGCCTCAGAGGTAAAGGAGTGATATGACACAACCAGTCTGTGAAAATCTCTCAGCATTAGACTGAAGCCACTGAATTACGGTGCGGTGAACCGGACTCTTTAAGAGGAATGCTGCTCCTAATCCACTCTTTATTAAAGTGGCTGTAGGAACAGTGCTGCAGGTCTCTAAGCAACATTTTCGCTCTCAACCAGACACTTGCAGAGAACCTTGCACTAATTGAAGTTCAGCCTGAACATAATATTTGATCCGTTTTGAATTCCTACTAATATTTTTGAACAATATATTCATCATTCATTTATGTGTGAAGAAAATGCTTGTTCAGGGTTTGAGCCTCCTGGTGTCCAACCTAAACCAGCGGATAGGTCTAAAGCTACGTTCTTCTCAGGTCTAGTTTGCATCTACAACCAGGTGAGCTGTATGGAGGCAGCATGCATCAATGCAGAGGAATATGTACCTGCTGGTTACAGATTGTTAACTTGAAAATGGGAGGCTTTTAACTTGGTCTTTGAGAAATAGGAAGGATCCCTTTTTCATCGGTGGGAGGATAGGATTGTGTCCCTGAGGGAGCCCTAGGCTGCTACACTGAGCAGCTCAGGGGGAGCAATTGAGGGTGAATAGTTTTACTCAGACTCAAGAGTAACCTTCTGGTTTCGAACGTTTCACCTCTCTGGAATGCAAATACCCTTGTATCACTGAGCCACCAAACAGACTACCACTTGCACTTAATACACCATGTTTTAAAACAGGCAGTGTTAAAATCAAACACATCAACGTTTAGCAGTGGCTGCTAATGGGAGATACTGCATCCGATTACAGCTAATGGGTCCAAAAGGAAAGGCAGACGCCGATGCCACTTGGCAAAAACTGCTGCCACAAGTTGCCTGAGCAGTTGCAAGCAGCCATGATCTACCTTATGAACTGTATCTCCTAATTTCCTCAGGGTTTAGTCCCAGAGCCTTTCTTAGTAAAGCGGTTTGGCTGCAAGGCAGTAAAGAATTGAGTTGTAGTTTACCTTCTCCTGGAGGGATAACCATTCCTGGCTGAGGATTTCTGTCCAACAGTTCACTTTCTAGTTGCTTCTTACATTTCTCAGATTTACATTGGATTATTCTAATGCTTATACCAAAGAGAGCACAAAGAATCATTAGAAATAAGCTGGTCCTTTCCAAGTTTTAAAGATATTTACAACCATGAAATCTCCCACCAGATTCAACATATTTTCCTTTAAACAAAAACAAAGCCCCCATGCAGCAATTACTCTCATTTACAACTGCTGTTTACAGAATGGCTTCAGTAATCAAGGTTTGCAGCCGTTACTAAAGGTCCTACCATAGCATTTCAGTCATCTGCAGATTTGCTGCTTGTTTCTGACCCGGTTTAACTAAAGTTTTCTGTACTAGACAGATGGGATTCCAAAGTAGTTTAGTATTTAGGCGAGTTTATGGCTGACTCGCCGATTGTAAGGTCTTCAAATCATCAGCCCTCCAACACCGTATGAGATGTCTGTACATAGATGCTGTTTGGTTTTCACGAAACATGGATTGGTACATTTTGCTGCTAAGAGTTCTGGCAAAAACTGTTGAGGTTCACTTTATCTAATTCTTGTGATTTGCCTTACTTTGATACTTTCTCTATTCAAAATTTTGATTGATATGGCTTAAAGTAATCTCTATAAAGATGTTTTAATTGTTGTTAAATGCTTCGAGATGAAGGTTTTATGAAGTGGATTTGTAAAAGATTAAATAAAGCAACATTTGTTATATATATTGTTTTACATTTGGGCTTCATATTTACTTAATAATCAAAGTGTACAGGCTGTTGTGTGGGATACACAATTTGATGAATGGCAAATTATAAGATGAAAAATCTCAAAATTAATTAAGAGTTTTCTTGAGTCTTCCTGTTGTATTTCCTTAAAAAAATCATCAAAATATTAGCTGTTTTTTTTGTTTTTGTTTTTTTTTAGGCTTTTCAGATAAATGGCTGTCTTAAGATAAGCCTACCTTTGAAAACGATATTAATTCATAAAGGGTAAATAAAGCAGTGGAAGTCCAAACAAACTTTCAGATTAGAAAATTAGTCATGGTTTTTGAAGAAAAGTATAAAAATTGATGCGGTTGTTAAAAATGTCAGAGAAATTACCAATGGTTATATTCCTAAAGGGATTTGCCACAATGCCGCCTGTTCATTTTATTTACATATGTTATTAACCAATTATATACACTAAAATGAAGAACAAAATCTGATAAGGTTTCCTCCTGACTTAGACAACCTTTATTGTCATTTTGTATATGCAGAGTGTATACAAAATTAAATTTTGTTTCGGTACAGCTTTTCAAACAGTAAAGGAACGTTTCCATTCTATAAAGTGCAGCAGTGATCAAATGTAAACAGTGTGGGAGAAAAAACATGGTCCAAAAACACACTGATAAGGAAGTTAAGAGCATTATATATATAGAGCAAATATGGAGTATTCCTGATGAAGTTCACATAAGAATGACCTCCTTTAGACAAAACATGTGACAGAAAAACTATTAAATTCATTGCAGACATATTTTTTTCTACATGTTTAGAGCTAAAAACATTGTGCTTGTGTTTCCACAGGTCCAAATTACACTGACCACACATGACTGTGGAGGGCTTTCTAAAAGGGACATCAAAATGGCTAAATTTATTGACAAAATTGCACTTTCAATGTAGTGTTTCCTCGCTTTATCCTAAAGTGTAATTTTAAATAATTGTTGGAGCTCTCCAAGATTTCTACAACCTTCTTGTGTTTTTCTATTAATAAAATCTGAAAATGGAATCTGATGGCTTGTTTCTTTACAGTTTGGGAAAAGTAGAAAACTTTTCTTTCTGTGTTTGTTCTTTTCCTGCCAGATGCAAAGATTTTACATCCATGTTCTCTTTGGCTGTTTTATTTATTTTTTTATTGCAGATGGTAATAAGATAAAGTGAAAATGTTTTTCAGTATTCTGTGTGGAACTTGGCAGGAAACTCATTGTTCCTGTCTCAGTCCTCCTCCAGAGTCGTATTTTCTTTGGTTTGGCTCTGCAGATTGGAGCAAAAGGAGGGATACCTTTAACTTCTGCATTTTTCAGTGTTTTAAACTCAAACTTCACTGTTATTATTGAGATTTTATTAGCTAGACCGACACAAAGTTCTGTGTTGCTGTGAAGTAGAAGAAAAATCTTACATAGCTTTCAAAATATATGAATCTGGAAATGTTGATCAGCATTTGCTTTCCACCATCTTTACTTTTGATACCTCTGGATACTTTCCAGTGCAACCAATTGCCTGCAGAGGTCAGCAAATTAGTAGCTAGAGTCAACTTGAGTGTTAAACCTATAAATTCTGCTTCTCTTTGAAGACCTCAGAGGTTTGTTAGAGAGAAAGTATGCCTGATAACTATGCATTTTTTCTCAGGCATGTTGTAAATCCGTCACTCCACCGTCTCTTATTGCTTCTTTTATTGAACTTTCTATAAATCTGCATGCCTTCATTACCCAGTTACTTTGCTGCTGGGACAATAAAAGATATGTCTATTTTTTGTGTGAATAAAATGTAGCCGGGCAGAACAAAGAATACAGCAGATAGGTCAGGGAGAAAGCTGTGGAGAAGTTAAAAGGAGATTTGGGTATATTCCAAGCTTTAAACATCTCACAGAGCTCTGCTCAACTCGGCTTGAACATGGAAAGAGGATAGCACAAATATAAACTATCCAATCTACACAATCCACCTAAACTGGTAGGCTGTGATAACTACAGAGACTCAGCCAGCAGGAAGAATCTGTGGACTTTTAATGACCAGAGGAAAGCTGTGGGAAAAAAAAGGTTGGCCCTCAGACAAATGACCCTTTGGGAGAAACTACAACCTTAGCACACCATTTCCATCGTTAAATGCTACGGTGGCAGTATCATGCTGTGGGGTTTTAGGTGTTATGAAGCCTAATTAAGGTCAGTTATTGAGGAATACCTGTTAAGAGACCGCAGAAAAGTTAAGACGTATGTTCACCTTACAGCGGACAATAGTAGGATTAAGCTTGAAAAGTTCAGTTTAGGCAGTTGGATGTGTATTGCCTAAAATGAACTTTTCATGCTTGACCATGACCTAGATGACTGAGAATCTTCACAGATATAATCTTAACATTAAATTGGTGTATATTCATGTGTTAGAAAAGCCCAAAGTTTAGACAGAAATCTAAATGGGAAGACTTGATAATTGATATTCACAACCTGTTTTTTGCAATAACCTGTTCAGACCTGTTTAATTATAATGACATAGTTATTTTTCTTTTTGTCTTGGAAACAAAAATTCTGTACAGCACATTTTACTAGATGTTTGTTTCCTCAATTATGCTTTGATCCTCCAGGCTAAAGAAAGCTTCAGTCTAGTTTTAGCCTTAAGAAAAATGTGCTAAATGAACACAGTGATCTTTTTATTCATCTCCTCATTTAATTATTTAGTTTACAGATAACCAATATTATTTTTCCTTTTTTTATATCCAAAACTTGGTTCTGTCAGACTCCAAATATACTAATATATTCTGCTTTTGTTTTTCTTAATGGGGACAGTTTATGTCCCCGTGTTTTTTCTCTGACACACACTTAACATACAGGATACCCTAGATAGCAAGCATGTATATTGAACCAGTTCTGTCGTCCTACAAACACATGTATGCTCACCGCTAAAAAAGGGATTGTATAGATTTTTAAACTTATAGGTATAAAGGAGGATGTTCTTTTTCCAAGGGGATCATCAAAATAACTGGTCCTCCTAGTTGTCATTCATTCTGGTGATATGTTTACATAAGGCCGTCCTACGTACTCGTCCCCAATTTCACTTAGCGGTGGTGAGTCTGGTATATTGGAGAAAATGCAAATCTTCTTTTGGAAGGTAAGCTTGTTGAATGATGCTAACAGCAACATTTAAACGGAGCGTGCACGAGGAGAAATGGGCTTGGGAGCGGGTACAGGGTTGTGCTTGTGCATTTTCAAGGGCAGGTCTTTTCAGAAATGTGTAGAAATCCTCTACTATTCCTTTAAGACATTTTCTATGATGGCAAAGTTGAACTGAAGTCCAGTTTATAGTTTGTGAGCCTAAACTTGGTGATTAAAGCTGATTTGAATTCTAAGCACTTGCTCAAACTGAACGTCATTAAAAATCCAAGGGATGCAAAACATACAATAGTGCTCTTATAAATAATACATTCTGGATTTATGCTTTTATGACGTAACATTATATTCCACAAAATCTGAGTCCGTTGCTTCATCATGATTGCATCATTGGTACACCTAACAGTCCCCACAATGCAAACATCATCTCTAAACCTTTTTATTAGCTTTGAGGCAAAAATCAGACTAACCTTGTTCTTCACAAACCAGACAGCCCTTCATTTATAAAATGTAAAAAATACAACTGAGCTCAGGTGTTTTTAATTATGACCAACAAAAAACACATTGCTTGTTTGCATGGCACTGATGTATCTCATCTGTGTTTCAAACGAACATATGTTCTTTTTGTTCTTAACACAAAACAGTAAAATATCCACTGGTTGCCAATCTGAAAGCTTGTTTCCATGAGATTACCTGAATAGAAAAGAAGAAATCATAGTTCTGTTATGAAGGAATAACATTTGTTTTCAAATCTAGAATATGTATCTATTTTTGTACAAAATGAATACCTTTACTTGGTTGTATTTAAGTTTTTACATTTTCTTTATATGCAGAAACTAAAGGTTAAAATAAACCTTAATCCCTCGGAACTTGACTACCCCATAATCAAGTTCCTTCATAACGTCATTCCTCTCTGTGTTGTGGCCTGTTTTTTTTTTTTTTTTTTTAGTTTTTTTTTTTTTTTTGCTGATCTTTCAAGAGCTTACCGTAGTTATATGTGTAAAAACAAAAGCAGGACAAACTGGCACTAAATTAAGTAAAACTATAACCAAATATTTGGTCATGGTGGCTTCAGTCTTTTTTAATGTAAAGTTGCCCTAAAATTTCATTAGGAATTGTGACTGTAATGAGTCTGAAATTAATTTTGTATTGCATGTCTTGGTTTAGTCTTGGTTTTGCTTAATGACAGTCATGGGAGGTTGTCAGTTAAAGGTACAGAGGACAATCTTTTATTTCTGGATGGATCATCTAAATAAGTCCTCCTAATTGTCAATCATTCTGGCGATATGTTTACATAAGGCCAACCTACGCGCTCTTCGCATGCCACTTTTAGGCGTATATCTGTGGTTAGCTACAGTTTCAGACAGCCATTGAAGCTCACCTTTCTCATTGCGGTTCTTTGAAAATGGCAAAGGGTCATAAGAGGAAAAAGTGTTTACGAAGTGTATGAGGAAGAAAAAAGGCCTCGGAATAGAGATATATCTCAGAATGCTTTGCACAGAGAGCTTTCCTCACAAAGCATTATGGATTATGGGCTATCACAGCGGCCTGCTGTCGCCATAGGCTGTCGCTACCTGACAGCAGCAACTAATAACAAAGATGGCGCAGGAACCCCACAGTGGAGGAGTTATGTGACCAATGGGCAGCAGAAAGTAGTGATCATCTTTCCAAATGGATTAGTAGTTAACTGAGTTCCCTATAAAAGGGAACTCAGTTAACTTATTATTGTAAAGTGGAGAGGGCGGGTCTTTTAAAAAAATCACAACAATCCTCCACAATACTTTTAACTCTCACTGTTTCACCAATTTCTTTATTTTATTTCTTCTTTTTTGTCCTCAAGATCAGGGAATTTGTTTTGCTTTTTGGCTATCTTTGGCCTACATCATCATGTCAGGCAGGTACTGTTTAATTGTTTTTACATATTGGTCAGTTATAAATGATGAACTCTTTTAAAATTCACACTTATTTCATTAATTGATACATAAGTAGTAGTAAAGTTTAGCATAATAATATAAATGATGAGGATTTAGAGAGCTGAGATCATTTTTTGTATTCATAATAATTCCAGTGATTACAAGTTTCATGTAAAATTTTACCACGTCAGAACAAAAAGTGAAAGCTGTGACCATATATATTTTTCTACACTGTTCTTAAATTAGAAACTGGAATTAATGTGATTTCCTAGATCTTCACCTAAATATGAGTGGGGGAAAAAAACAACTTGCCAAAGCTATAAGGCTCTCTGACTGTTATGTCAACCTCTGCTCTCTAAGGAAGGGGGAGGCTTTCCAAATGAGCAGACAGGCTTTCTTACAAGGCCAAGCTGAGCCAGACCAGGCCAGATGTGGCCCCTTCAGATAATTGGCCTCAGCTGATGGCCAGAAGCTGCGACCAGCCAAGTCAGCCTTCCCATTAGTGAGCTCCCTTGTTCCTGCCTCCTTAATCCAGTTTGGGCTTCAACTACTAATTCTGCATCGACTGCAGCCTGGCCCGCACAAATACACCAATGCACAGCAGAAGAAGGGGGGGCAGGGTTGATTTGAAACCAACTGCATATGCAGAGATGAGTAAATGGCGAACATTGAGATGAAACAGCACTTTTTTTTTCTAAAAAAAAAAAGTTTTGCTATCTTTAAGATGGGAAAATTAAAAATTAATTTTCTGGCCTTAAATGGCCACTGCTCCTGACATCAAGAAAGCAACAAGACAGAGAGACTTATTAATATAAGCAAAAGAAGAAACTGCAAGCACACAAGAGAATTTCTCTGCGTTTTCCCAAGTAGCCCCAGAACCCAATGGAAACACATATGTCCGCCTTAAGTGTCCAAACTACAGCCACACTCGCTGGGA